TGGAGTAGCTCAACAAATTACAATGATTTGTGTTATGTTATGCAGTAAATCTTGGCCCATCAAGAATTGGGAGATTGAGGTATCTCTTGGAGCTGTCTGTTATACTACACTGCTGTGATACTGTACTACATACACAACACTGTCTAATAGCATAATTGCTAGTTTGAACCTTTGAGCCATGGAATAAGCTTCTGATAAGAATGTCTAAATCATTATTTGTCATTGAGAGAACATAGAATAGAATCTTTACATTTGAGAAATATTACCATACACATGTTTACTGAGTATTCATTCATAGATATTTCAGAATCGGGGGGGGGGAGGGGGATTAACCTCAGAGTTCAAAGATGACTACATTTATAATGTAAACATGTATTGAGATGACGTACAGTTGGTACACTTCTGATTGGTCCAAATCTATAAACAAAAATGGCGGATTCAAATTTTCTAATAACATCATAGCTTGGATTTTCACATCAAGATAAAGAAAAGCGTAATGAATATGCTTACATCCATTTAAACATCACGACGACGTGTAATATTAGAAAACTAACTCGTGAGAAGGATGTGTCCGGATATCTGCCCTTTTGGTCCCTCAGTCAAATGTATGTGAAATATGGTTTTTATTACTGTCCTAGTTATATTTGATAAGTATATTTACTTTTTCACGAGTTTTGATGCAAAATTAACCCCCTGCTAAGAGTCAGAATAAGTATCTGAACAAATAAAGAGGGTCATTATCATAGAAAAAACACCAATGGCAACATGTATGACATACAAAGGAGAAATAACTTAAGACCCATGAAGAATTAAAAAGAAAATCATATTTTTGAAATGTATTTTAGGATTAAAATTTTTTTCAAATTTTTGAATTTCCAGCCAGTTTAATTTGAAGGGGGAAAAACAAGATGGCTGCCATTTGATGTAAGAAATATCAGAAAAAAAGTTGCTTCACTTTTAGTTTTGCACAATGAGCACAGTTTTCCGATTTAGGTTTTTTTGACTGATTCTGGATCTTCATCACCAGGGTCATGTATAGAGATTATAATATTGAAACCAAAATGTTGTGCTCAGCATGAATTTGACTGAAATATGTGTAAAGGACGATTCTCGGTTTGGAGAACGAAGTTCATCAATCTAAATGAGCATTATCCCTGCTTCGGACAAATTTGATTTTTTTTACATAATATAGATTTAAATGTCCTCTTTTGAATAGTCATAATTTAATTTGGGTAAAATTTCTAGATTTTTCGCAAAAAAATATTAGCGCAGTACACTGATGAACTTCTTTCCCTTCAGACCAATTTGTTATTTTTACATCTTGTAGATTTAAATGTCCTCTTTTGAATATTCATAGTTTAATTTGGGTAATATTTCTATATTTTTCATTAAAAAAATTATTAGCCCAAGAGACTGTTCTCCAAACCGAGAATAGTCCTTCACTAACACAATTGAAGTCTCAAAACTGGATGCTCAGTAACTTTGAGTGAGACTATAATCCCTTGATTACCCAGATAAACACCAATTCATTTATCCAGAAATACCATTCAATGTCTATACAAAGAAAGTACGCAATATTTTGGAGGATATGTTTCAAAGTTTTTGTATAAATAATTCATTTAATATTTGCCATTGATTTGTCTTTGATGCCAATATTCTTCATCAATTGTGATACAAATTGATATTTTTGTAATCTCAGAATAGAAGGATAAGATATTGAAGTTTAATAATATGTGTGATTGAGTTGGTTTATCAGACATTACAATTTTCAATATTTTCTAAGTCGATACCCAGACTCATGGTAGGTGGTAGGCAGGAGACTAATACATCAGTCATCGCTAAAGCTCTGGGGCTCCACCCCTCTTTTTCAGAATTGATCTCCACAAAAGACATATTACTGAGTATTTGTTCCATAGCCTAGCATATTATGAATGAATATTATTTGGTACTATATAACTGCACTTTATCTTAATTTTTAGAATTAAAACCATGTCAGCATGCTGGCATGTCAGCGTCATGATTTTATGATTACTAGTATTGATGAAATGAAATAAATGAATAATTGCATTCAATGGTCAGCCTATATTGTTGAGAAATTATTTACTACGTATAATTTTTTCCACAATATTTCCTAAAATAAGTTCATTTTCCGTGTGAAACTCCTGTGCACAGATCTATAGGCAGTATACCAGTATACGGGTATAGCAATGGGGGTCTTGTTAGGTGGAACAGGGAAGGTTCGTGAAAACGTCAGGAAAACACGGAAGGGTAGGGGAGTTTTGTAGGGTAAAGGACCGTGAGTTGTTTGTAGAATGATACACTTTAAAGCATTTAATTGATTAAATTTAAGATTGCACCATATAATCCCCAAAAATATCTCATTTTCAAGTATTATTTATGGATTAACACCCAAGTATTGTTACATAGTGTTTTAAAGTGTATTGATGTTTTTTAGATGAAAAACACAAGTGGAATGCATGAACAAGCTCCCTAGATTCATTCTACAAACAACTCGCGGTCCTTTAAATACCCACGAAATAAATGTGCTTTTTCGGCAGTATGTATTGTATTCGAATATTTCGTTAACTTCACTTCATTTCAATTATTAAATAAATATAGTCGATGCACTATTGATTTTCCTAAGGGCAAGGAAGATTGCCTCGCAGAGTGCAATATCCATATTCTATCTCATATATGGGAATGTGCTTCAAAATTCGAATTCCAACAGCCGCCATTTGTTCACTTCAACATTTGGATCGTGAATTTTGGTCTTATTTCCTATCGAAACATTCCAAAACTGAAATTCTTGGAGTCAACCCTCCTTGCACCAACTAGTTGCACGTCGACGTTGTGCAAACTGCTACAAATTATAAAAGGTGCAATATGCGGTCAGCGTCATTGATCCATACGCTAAGCGGCTGACAGACTGAGGATGCACAATTTACAAATTATGGCTATTAGGTGAGTGGCTCCTCGGAACATAATGCTGAAATTACCAGTACAATGTTTTTTTAAAACCAATCTGTCGAGATAGTGTTTTCGAAAATTTATATCTGCATAGCCTGATAGCGGTTTTATTGGATGTTTTTTAATTGCGTGTTGACTTAGGGGCGTCGGCAGAGTTGTTGAATTGAAGCCGGGCATAGAAGGCATTCACAGCTCATCCGAGACTAAACAGGGGTCATTATGCTATGAATGAATATGTATACGTGAGCTGATCATTTTCGAATAAAACATGCCTTCGAAGTAATTCGACAAATCGAGAAATAGAGACGGCCGCCGACCTCACAACGTAAAATTAAAAGCCGGGTATTTTGACTTTCATTGTTCAAAGTTGGAAAAGAATTCTTACTGATGTCCAACCATGCTTCAATTAATGCGCTAAAACGAGTCACATTTACGCATTTGGCGTGAAGAACGGTAACACGTACATGTAACCTGGTTTTATTGGCTGCATTCCATCGGATCATATGTAATAAGTCCATCAATGTGATGTGCTTGTGATACTCTTTTATGTTGTATTAGATTCATACTGAATCATTAATGCATATTGACCGAGATATGGCCATGAACAAATACATAGGCGTATCAAATCTAATCTTGGTTTAAAAATCGAGAAATACGACGTCGTCATTGGTTTGCGGTAAAAACCATGATTTTTCACTCGTCGTTACAGAAAGTTGGCAGAAATTTGTTTTCAGAGGTTTCAGAAAAAAACAATCATACCATTGGAGAGAGCTCATTGTGGGCTAAATTTAAATTGAAAAACATTTTTAACTCGACGATATTTAATAGCCCAATTAACGCGCGAATGTGATACACATTTGTGCATTTTCAGTGAATTTCTGTGAAAAAATGTTTTACACGTTTGTACCCGTAGCTGGGTGGTATTTAATCGGGTCGAAATAACTTATCCATATGCGCATTGCCCTTGTAATAAGCTTTCATTTACTATAAAATGATCATTCAATGACGAATATTGACCGAGATATGACCGTGAACAAATATCATACGCGTATCAAATCTAATCTTGGTATAAAAATCGAGAAATACGACGTCATTGGTTTGCGGGAAAAACCATGATTTTTCACTCGTCGTTACAGAAAGTTGGCAGAAATTTGTCTTCAGGGGTTTCAGAAAAAAACAATTATACCATTGGAAAGAGCTCGATGTGGGCTAAATGATGAGTGAAAAACATTTTTTAACCCGACTTGTTTTAATAGCCTATTTAACCCGCGAAAATGATACACATTTCTGCATTTTTAATGAAAAATATGTCAAAACTTTAGCACCCGTAACTGGTTGGTATTTTATCTGACCAAAATAATAAATTCACATACGTAATGCCCTGGTTATAAGCTTTCATTAATTATCAAATTTATAATATAATGATAAATATTGACTGAGATATGATCGATTAGAAATGCATGTATACACCATGACGTTCAAAAGCGTGAAATTTAAATGGACTGATCACCGTAGATTACTACGCGATTTTGCCGAAAGAACAATGGAAATGACGTCTTGGATCTCCTGCTGAATGGAAATGGTGCCAAATAAAGTATATTACCTTAACCACGAACTCTGAATGACATTTGAGGTATATATAAATTGCCTGATGAGATATGTAATTATTTGCAATAAAATGAAAGCATCCATATCTGATCGTATTTCACAATCGTTTTCTAGCTTTTCAAGAGATAACAATTAAGTCCAAACTAAATGGTTTTTACCGGATTGAATCTATAATATGTGCTCCATCAGTAACGGTTTATTGTTATCATTTATTGACTATCGATATAACCAGATATGTATCAACTGTATCTAATTGAAGCCATTTATATCGATGAAACGGTGGTCAATACTTTTTTATCATTTATGATCGTGCATATTATAAAAATGAATGGCTCGGAATCGAAGTTTTAAAGATTTTTATTTCCAAATTCATACATCAAGTTATTCATTAAGAACAGTAGTAGTTTTTGACATGTAACAATTTTTGTTTGAAAAGTTAAGACAAACTGAGAATTTGCTTGAAATCCTTGATTTCATTAACTGAATCATGTTGTTTTATTTAAGTCAAGCGATGTTCATTGGTACGTTTTGCGCATTTCCATATGGACAGAATGGTTATGGACAGATTTTCGCGTACTCTTACAGTACACATATGGACGACATTAAAGATCCAATCCAATTAAACATACTTAACATTCTGTTTCTCAAAACAAACTGCACATTTTGGAATGATCAGTTTTAGATCATGGACCTACTCATTCTATGTTTTTGTTTAACTTGTCGAGTTAAAGATTGCAGGCCTTGCTTGATCCGGATTTTGGGGGTTTCCCATGGTGCATGTGATTGCAACCGGTCGTACCATTGTGATTTGTCTGCATATTACTGTTGGTTGTCTCACCGGCAGTGTCCTCAATCTTAGCCTCGCGCATACATCGGCACAACCCACACAGGACGTATCGGAATTGAGAATTGAAGAAATAGTAAAGCACGAAGTTTAGAGTATATGAGAGCATTTCTAATATGTTGCTTGTCAGACGTAATGTCTTATGTCCAAGGCTTTCTTCGTCCAGTGTAAAAATGGAACGGAACAGTCCGACGTGAGACAAAGCTTCCGGCACGTGACAAATCACAAAAAGCACACACATACACACTAACATGGTCGTGATCTTCGCTTGAAGTTTTTGTCGTTTCGCTGCAGTTGTTGACATTGCGCGCCGCCTTTTTGTTGCCTGATGAAGCTCGTAAATGAGTAAACAATTAGTCAGGATCATTGCTCCCAGTGGGAGAAATTTAGCGAGAGATATTCTTATCCAGGAGTATGCTTGATAATTTTGACTTTGTCCGAATTCTGTTAGTTCTACTGTATTGTCAGATGTATCAACCCTGTATGGGAAAAAATAAGGAGTATTGAGGCAGATGGCACCAAGTACAATAGCTATTATCCCAAACCTTGCGTTCTTTACTGTACATAGCGTTTTAGCGCTCCTTATGTACCCAACGTAAATATAACGTTCCACGGATACTGCTAGCGTTATCCAAACACTCGCACATGCGGACATGTTTGCGATCGGAAGATAAATATAGTATTCATAAACCTTTCCGAAAGCAGCGAGTGAATCTGAATCTGTTGCACAACCCCCACACCGTACTAATCCAATTGGAAACACCAAGCTCAAAGTCAAAAGATCAACTGCTGAATTTGCCGTAAGATACGTAAACGTTGAACCCTTAAGTAACTTACGCGTAAACACAATCAGATTTAACGCGTTCAATAACATTCCTATTCCACAGATAATGGGAATTACGTACGCATACCCAATGTGCTCTGTTAAAGAGGTAGTTTCATTGTTCTGGCTTACGTCTGTTAAATATAACGTGAAGTTCTCCATATTCGCATCAATCAAAGTCCGTCGTATGTCCTCGGATATTATCTAGACGCTTATCTTTGGCGTATTGTGCTCTTGAAGGGTTGTTAATCCTTCATTCGATCTTATAAAGAAGCGTATGTTTCCCTCGTTAATCTTAATATCGTTTACATGAATGCACTATATGTCTTTTAACGTTAATGTAGATTAAACGTTTTATTAAAAAGCTTTATAGCCCCAATAGTTAAGTTCCTTACGAGATGCTTTTAGTTCTGAGAACACCTGTGTTTATCAAGGAATTGAAAAACATCCATCGTTGAGAAAATTGAATTACGTTTTGTGATTCTAGCTGTAATTCACGTTGAACAGACTTTCAATGGCGTAGGATACTCGACGTCCATGTAATCTACCTCGCATTTGTTCCGCATTTAAAGTTGCATCGCGTTTATGTGTATTCAAGGAGATAGAATGGTCCAATTAAAGGGTTACGATAGCCATTTTATCCTACAAAAGAAATGAAAATATTCTAAATTACGCTTTATTCCATCACAAATCCAACCCCTCATCCATTCATGCTAGTGTCATTTTCACTGGGTATTTCGACCCCACTTCCTTTCACTAATACAAGTGGAGCTGAATTTTCTCCGTATCGTTCTTTATAAGATTATCCAGTTGATTTTGTCTATTGAAATTCAGAATGATTGACGTTCGTATTTATACACCGCGAATACAAGTTTACTCAAGAACGGTTTTCAATTGCATATTCCTAAATGACATTTTTCTTCGTCCATATTTCGAGATTTAATTGGAACATTAAACCTTTTGTAGCACTCACTATTGTTCAAAGCACGTCCAATGCGTCAAGTAACTGTACTTATTTTGTAGTAGTTTGATTGTATATTTCCTCAAACGCTCTGTTGCAGAAATGCGAGATTTATGACACAATACTCATTGATATTTTCATTATTAGATACGAAGCGAACTGTATGAAACGTAATACCTTGTGCATTATTGGAGATATTCAAGTGTCACACTATCAGTTACATCTGTAATATCCTATAAGATCTTTGTCTTCACTGTCGTATTGTTCAGCAGCTGTTGGCGATATACTTATCGCAATTGAGGATTTCACGTTCAACTAACTTATTCGAACAATCGCCCGACTACTTCAATCAGCAAGAGTTGATAGAACGCTTAGTTTTACAGGTTTGATCAATATAAAAATCCATAGATATTTATTAATTAAATGTTTGACTACGGTATGATTTCTTCAACGCAGCACGTTTTGTCAGTAATTTGCAATCACTCCTAACGAGTTCCAATATCGCAACGGTGTGGAATCAGCCGAACAGAGCGCTTGATATCGTTCTTCTGTGTTTTTTCTTTTTATCTTTTGTGAAACGTATCTACCGGGATTTCTGCACTGTGTTAAGTCATGCCAATCAAACGGTGGTTATCAAGCCAGGAAGCACGTTCGGCAACTGAAAAAAGATAGCGATATGAGAGATAAATTCCCCTTGAGTGCCAGAGTATATTTTCATCACTGTTCTACTATATTAGATGCATCTTAACATTAATAATATCTACTAGGAAAAATAGTGTGATTACTACATCCGTGTCCTAGGCCTATCTCTCATTAATTTTATTATCTTCTATTTCAGGTTATCGGGTGACGGGCTTGGTCGATGTACCCTTATAGGAGAGAATGGCAGGACGAACCAATGGGTAATACGAAGGGATCGTGTGTATTTTCTAGAGCATTGTCGGTTAAAGATTTAAGCCCATGGCTAAATGAATTGTGGGTGGTTTTAAGCACGAATGTTTTGTGTCGATACTTTGAATGAGTTCAAAATGCTGGGATACAAGACAAGCGTTTTGACATTTTGACCCGCATAAGCACCCACATGTACCTTGTTATTCATTATGATATTTATTAGTATCCATTCGAAGCACATTTTAGGTGTCCGTCTTTCTACCTTCGTCCGTCTTGTCCATGGTTCCCCGCTACTTATCCCTGATTGAAACCAACTGTCGGAAAGCAAAATTGAATTTCAAAAGAAGTCTGCGATCTATTCATATATTTACTCTAATTTACGTTTACAAATATTAATTTACCAGGACCTCTACATCTTTATCTGAATATAGGAACGATCATCGATCATGTTTAAGGTACATGAAGCCATGCAGATGTGTGGCTCTAGGTCTGATTATACAATATTAACTTTCATTTCAGGTTATTCCCAATATGCATCAATCCAGAGATGAAGGATAATCACAATTTAACAGTGTGCATGTATTCAAGTAATTAGAATCCCCATCCCCATGTTGTATACCTCTTTACTCTCATAAAATAGAAAACACGTGGCCATTGAGGAAATTTGCGTAAGGGAACCCCATTCTCTTTAACAGACATGATATATGTCCTGGCATGTTAAATATTTGAGATGATATTTCAACCATAACTACAATTAATTCACAAATGTTTATTTTGAACATAGATGAAAGGAAAGCCATCCCGTTTAAACAGATAAAGTGATGGAGCAGACATTTTGCGATAAATGAATCGATCCACTAGTTCAAGATGTTCAAGTCCAAGGATGTCGATGTCTGCACGGGCAGCGTGCCGGTCGAGATTGAGATTTGAGATTAAAGTTTTGATCGAGAAGGTGAGGTTAAAGTGCACTCGTGGGCTCACGTGGCAAAACGGTCCATAGAAATTTAGTAGAAAATTGTACTTTCTCTATTTTAGCAAATAGAATGCATTTGAAATATTTGCAAGATGCTTTTATCGAAAATATTAGATTACATGACACTGAAGACATAAAAGGGCTTCTTGCTTTATTGATAACGGTCCAAAAATTGCATTAAACTAGAACTGTATCGATGAAAAAGGTACCACGTTATTGTTAAAGGAATATTCCTTGCAAGCCCAATTCTTTTTTCATGTTGCAGCCCTAACCATTTTATGTCCATATTTTAGCAAGACATTGGGACATTTTTTGATATGGTCAAAACTAATCATTTATAACATTGCTCATGTTGGCTCCCATCTTTTAAGATTTCACACAGCGGAAGTGATGTCATCAACTCTTAAGTTTGCATAGTAAATAAAGCAAGAATGTAAATAAGAAGCACAAAACCAGTTCAATGTTCTTTTTAAGCTTTGTCTATGGTTTTTACAGCTTCAAATTGTTTTTTGCGTAAAAAGGGACAGCCATTGTGAATTTTTATCGAATAAAGATAAGATGCCTGTAAATTCTGATGCAAATCCAAACAATGTTTCTTGACATTTTGCATATTGTGTACTTTTGTAAAATCGGCCGTGCATTTTGAACTTATAGGTCGTCGTTTTTACTTTTGATTGAGCGATAAGTGAGCTCACCACGTAATATTTAATGCTCACCTCGTGTTACAGGAAATGGTGGCAGCTGGTCGAGAGACGGTAGCCTCTCCACAAGTTAAAGAAGGCAATTTACCCGATTCAGTATAATGTAGTAGGTTAAGAAACACCTTACTCTTATTTGTATACAATATCGAGTATCGATGACGTCAACTCCATTGACCACACCAATCTTGGTCGATAAAGCCAGTGGTGTTTAAAGGTATTCAGTAGTAATATATCAGTTCGTTGAATATTTCATTGACTTGAATATATGCCGTATTATATCTGAACATAAAATACAATATTTTGTACAGATTTGTGCAAGTTTGTGTTGCAAGCTTGTATATTTTTGTTGACCCTATAGACCCTGTTATATTCAACCACAGAATAACGGTAAAAGAATGCTGAGTGTTTTGCACAAAACCTTTCCAGAAGATAAATGATCCAATCAAACCGTATACCAATGGTCGACACCTTTGTAATATTCACGATCTAAACGAACGATCTTTTGTTTAAATGTAAATCTGGGATATATGCTGCTATTCTTTAAAAAATCGACAAACCTACAAGAACAGTTCCAATCTCATTGATATGTATCAAAACCTCGATATGCTGATACAAGGCTAAATATTTCCCTTGGGTCACAATTAATGATTTTGAAAAAACAAGTGTCATTGAGATTTACCATTTGAATAATCATTCAATTTACAAAAGTGCATATTGTGTACCATGCATTTATCGTGATAGACCAATTAACACTACACTCAATTTATTAAGACTTCTTGGCTTAAACGTTTTAGAAAAATTATATTGAGTTTACACCACTATTTTCAAGACGTCTTGCCAAATATGATTAAGTTTGCACGTTTTTCTAAAACGCCTTAGAGATATGTAGGTATACATGTAAAATGATAAAAGCATTTCTGTACTGGTTGAATGACTGTTCAGTCAATATAGCAATTCCTTTCCCGCTTCTATACTTTGTGCTAAACAATGCATCGGTTTCACAAAAATATGTCCCAAAGAGAGCATTGTTAAAAGCATGAAAGAAAGAAAGAAAGAAAGAAAGAAAGAAAGAAAGAAGATTTCGTGCATCATTATATAAGGGTTATGGAAGAACGCCAGTCAAATTAGTTTTTTTTCGATATTTTGGGATGATATTGGAAACAAGGGATGAGACAAGAAAAGGGACCATTTAACAAAAAGGAAGTTTCAAATTTTTCGTTCAGCGCACGCATAAAACCGAGCTTAAGAGCTCTTAGTGTAGCTCAAACCGATGGTTTGTAAGACGTTTTAACGCTAAGACGTCTTGGCTATGACTAGGGTCCTAAAACGTTTTAGCTAAGCGCTCTTAGCCAAGAGCTCAAAAAATTATACATTACATTTGCAAAACGTGTTAATGCTAAAACGTTTTACCCAAGACGTCTTAGCGCTCTTGTGCAAATCCAACTAGTTTAACTTTTCTTCCTCATGTCGGCTCTTTATTAGACTAGAACTTCGTCTCGACCTTATAATATTTGATATATTTACCAATGGATGTTAATTTATATAACAAGTCAAATTGCCCATCATAGATAATTTGCACATAGTTAGGTATATTGTCAGTCGAGTCGTGCGCTTTTAGACAGCTGTAATGAGAAGAAACACGACAATGTGTGTACTAATATAAACATTTTCAATAAGAGACGTTTTAGGAAGCGAGGTCTGGACAAGTCATACATGTTACAAAGTCAAGTTCCTGAATTTCAATCATTTAAATCCTTTTAATCATATCCTTAAAATTTTTTTGCTATGCGTGTTTTTAAGAACTTGGTGATTTATTTCATTGATACTTGTATGCTTATTTTAAAACTCTTGCTAAAACCTAAGCCTTGTTTAATATTGCAAGAACTCCATGCAATCATCATGAGAATCATGGCCTTCTATTAGCTTCTTTCTAGATTTCTAGTTGAAGCCAGAAAGATGTGATGAGTATCAGAATGTCTTACAATTAGATACTCAACAATTCATTTTAATCTTTGCATTATAAAGTTGAGCTCGTTTCCTCTATGTGCATGGTACCGAGAATGGATTTTTAGTATAGCTACAAGCCCTTGTGACCCCCCCCCCCCTCCCCCCTACTCATTCCAACTCGTCCTCGACTCAACCCTGTGCGAGAAAGTGTGTAATTCCCTAATCAAGTAGAGGGGGGTCACGGGGACTTGTAGCTAGACTATAACGGTTACATCGTAACCCCCGATGTAACAACAGTATTCATCCCTGTTGTTTACTTGTCGGAGTTTGTACATCGATCCCTAAAACAAGCTGCTAGAAGCGGAAAACTTCACTGATTTCACTGATATTAGTAACACAGTGTATCCATTATGGACTTATAGAGGCAATCTAATTGCGTAAAGAAATCTCTTTCGCCGTAAGTGCATCTTGACTTGTCGTTGGTATTTCAAAGAAAGGCAAAAATATCTTACTGTGCGAGTGCTTATTATGGAGTAGTTAAAGATGTGAGACTTGAATGACTATACAACTAGTTGTATCATCGTATAGATATACGTAATAATCATAAAATTATTCACCCGTTCAGTAAGGAAAATTTATCTTAATGTTGATGTAAATCTTGCAACATGTTTTGTTCCATTGTTAATGAATACATTTTACACCATACTTATCTTTTACATAACTATTATCTTAAAGAGAGAATCAGATATAGCGAGCAGGTTAAACAAAATATTGTTTCAATTTTAGAATATTTTTTGCTCATGTCATTCCTTGTCATATCTATTTTCTAAAAATCACAAAAGTGCATACTTTATTCCAGGAAAATTAAAGATTTTTACAATAATGTATTATTTTTCTATAAGAATGGTTACCATTCTTATTATTTGGGAGAATTTAAACATTTTTCACTCATTTTTGCACTTTGAATCATGAATAACTTATAATTTATAACATATTGTGAATCTTTTGGGAGATATTGTATTTGATATTGTAAGGAATAGATTGGTAGGTCAATTATACATGTTGCTTGTAATTTTATCACCCCCTATAGATCAGATTCTGCCTTTAATATAACTTATATATGAATATGACTCATAAATTAAGTGTGTATTCAATTTGTTCGCTCGGTTAAAAATTCCACGGGAGATAATCCAACGGGCTAGGGAATTCAATAGATACGATAGCCCGCATTTAGAATATATTTGGTATCCAATATTTCATTTATTATCATTTCATTCCACATCTATAAGCAGATATTAATAGGCAGAAAATGACATGAAACACATAAACTATTCTTCAGGAAACATGGCACATTGTAACTGTAAAATGTTTGGAAACATTTTTCATAATTGAACTTGGAATACTATTGTGTGTGACTTAAAACAGGATACAATAGGCTTCAAAACGATATCTTACCTTGAAATAACTGCAATGTTTATTTAAGTTGCACACTGTGCCAAGTATTATTAACAACAAGATATATAATTTAGTTTTTTGATTGATAAATGAATTTAATTATAGCTACTGAAGTGAAAATTGGCCGAATATCACATGGCAAGATAACTTTAATCTTTGCATTTATGTGACCTACTTTGCTGACCTTGATATTATGAATTTTACTTTGTATGATTATCATTTTAGGTCCTACAAATCTGGAATTTTGAACCGGAATAACACCATTCTTGTTCAATTGAGGTCAACAAAATATTATGCAAAGATATGAACCCAAGTTGATAAATTTGAAACAAGTAGAATATTGACCTAAAATACTTTGACCGACCTTTTTACATTTTCTAATCTCGAAATTGGAGTAAACGTGTGAAATATTTAGACAGATACATCAAAAAACGTAGCTTGATGAATCTTAATAGAGGGACTGTTGATCGATTCCCACTACCAAATGTATATTTACTTAATCAGATTATCGTCTACAAAAACATACTACTATCTAGGCTGTCCCTTTTTATAGACCAAAGAAGCTATTAGTTACATGACCCTACGAAGAGATCAGTAAATAAGAACCAGAATCATGTTCAATATTAAGCACCGGCGGATCAAGGGGGGGGGGGCATGAGTTGGCCCAGGAAAAAGTGTAGGGCCTCAATTAGTGAACCTTATGAGGGCGTTAATCACTCGCCATTTTTGGGGCTTTATAGGCCAAATTATAAAAAATGGACCTCAGATTTTTCCGCGTAAGCAAACTTCTGGATCCACCAGTGTTAAGTATTAGGAAAAACAGAAGAAATATATGAGTATGTACAGCAGGTGGACGTAGTAGCTGATAATGCTGATTGATCTGCTAGATTTCCTCCAACACTGGCTAAAGTATCATGATCCGCATTTAACACCGATTGAATGCCAGATCTAAAAACAAAGTCGGTATTGTGTCTTCCTATCGCCCTGCATTACCTTTATCTTGGAGCTTGTATTGGGGCTTGAACTTTGATATGACTTTTTGCTTTGAATTTGTTTGATTGGCTACTTCTGGACATCGTTTGTCTTCGCTATGGCACACGTTATCCATAAATGTATAATAAAAAAAATCAACTCTCTGGAGATTAAAGTTTGGAACGATAACGGTGAATCATCACAAGTTTAATTTTGTATAAAAGGTAATGTTTATAGTGAATATTCCACTTTGATATGTTTATCAGATCCAGACTTCATAAAACTCGAGCCTTGTGACATCTAAACAAGTTTAAAGAATTTCCAACAGACGATGAGCATTCCTTGTAGTAGTTCAATATGTTGTTATTCTAACACTGACATCCAACGCTGAGTTTCCTCCATTAGAAAAAACAAAAACAGAATCATAGAGACTGAGCCTTTTTATAGCTCTAAATATCACACAAATGCACCTTATGAATATCTCTTTTTAAAAGCTTGGGTGATTTATAATATTAATTTTCCTACGATTTATTCAGCACAATTTCCGAAAAACATTGCCCTTTCAGAAGAAAAGTTTTTAAGTATCCAATGTTTTGACAAGATTTCATTGTGACATACAGTAATAATTCCCGAAACGGCACAAAACATGATGCATGTAAGGAATATTAATTTTGTTTCACGTCGTCCCTTCCTAGATCCGTTTTTTCAAAGATTATCAAAAAAATCACACGCCTTGAAAGATGGATTTGTACTAACGTCATTACTTCCTTGGTATATTGACTTTAAAGACAGGTGTAAAAGGGTAGGAGGTCCTACAAATTATGGTCCTTATACTCTCAATTGATTTATATAGCGACCTCTCTCCCTTATTATCAGTAAGGGCCGTTAAGGAGGGGGACCATAATCCCCGGGGGACCATAATTTCTTTCACACAGGGATGCTAGTTCAAGATAACGTTCATTCCAAATGTCACAATTCTACATTTGCTCGCAACAATATTTTTCTAATGTATTCAAGTGAATTTGTAGATTTCGGCATTTTAAATCTTTGACAAATCTCATTTAATTTTTATTTAAAATATTTGGATTTTGCGGGAAAATTGGCAAGCTTTTTGAAAATAGGCGTTCACTTCGCACATTCTACGCTCTCTTGCGATATCAGCCACTTCTTTATGTTGTGAATTAAGCGAATGAGTCGCGCGATTTGTCATATTAATTCCCAGTTGTCACCTAAAATTGCATGATCATCCCGTAAAAACATTTTTGATTGATCATTTCGTTTTCATGTTTGTGTACAATTTAATCTTCCCTTTACCTTTATGACTTTACCAAAGCGAAGATTAATCGTTTTTCTCTGATTAAAAACATCCCATTGTAATCAATGTCACAATGATTGCCTCACAAAATGTCAATGGCTTTATATGGAAGGCAATATAACGTATGAACGCCCATATGCATCATTTCAATGACAAAGCAAAACCTTGTGTAATTACGATGAAAAATAAAATAAGTTATTTATACATAGGGTGTTCGATGGTGTTAGTTATTTTTTCCTTTGGGCACCATGTATGGATCAGTAATCAATAATACCACAAACATTCAAGGTAAATGAAGCCAAGGGGATGTTATGTTATTTCGATAAATCGGATTTAATTCACCTGGTATTTTTACAGTGTTCACCACCATGCGTTTTGTCTTCCTGCCTTTTCGTAATTCATTTTAGCGAGTCGAATCAGATTCCCAAAAAAGAATCTGAATTCTTTCTTTTACCTTTATGTAAAATCGGATTCGATGGCAGAATAGAGAAGCCGAAAATCGTAATTTTTCTTTGCCTTAAAAAGTCTCATAAATTCTACGATTTTTGTCCAGTGTTACAGTGTTAATTAAGAAGTCGCAGAAACAAGACATAATGAAAAACACGAGTGTTAGTTGAGAACGGCAAGTTCTTAATATCGAAAAATGTAAATCTCGTGAAATATCATATACAAAATCTATACAATACCTGAAACAATATATAATACTATGCGTGCACAGTTTATATACAACTGCAAATTGGCGTCACATGGTTATATTTTCCTTTCTTGCAAACCTGCTACCTTATACTTTCTAATATGCTTGTCTTATTCAAGAAGTTTAAAGGGGATATATCCGTGTAATTGTGTTTTGTATCCAATATCTTTCTCTTAGGAAGATGAAGAAAATTACTAATCCCTTGTAACTTTGACTACCTAATTACATTCTATATCGCAAAGCTACTGTCTGTTCTTCTGTTATAGTTCACGTAATTTGAACGTCTAGTAGGTTTTGTTTCATAATTAAATGTAAACCTGTGGAAAGATACCACTGGAGAAACGTAGAAAATGACAATTCCTCACTTTGATTATTCAACAGTTTTACGGAGAGGCTTTGAAGTTGCTTGATACTATTTGAATACTGCTCCTAGTGCTCTTGGCTCTATTGACTAAATACTCCATTGAAAGTCTATTTCGCTGGCAAGTGTAACTGAACCCTCATCACTCAAGGGCGCATGTGTAGTAGACTTGCGGTGATCGGGCTTTTATAAGTATCATTTATTTATGATATGTGCGGCCACATGAATGTTTCTAATAAAACACCGGCTATTCCCAATATGCTGAATAAGGTCTCCACGGAAACACGACTTATTAACATTCCAATGCACATCCACGGCAATTTTAATAATTGCTTTTGTTAATGGATTTTGACTGACACAGTATTCTTAGTTGAGCATCCATTAATTTATATTCCATACAGGTTATCTTAATATTTTATATTAATCAAACATGTATGTTATTTTAATTTCCTGCATTGAATGTCAGGGTGATAACACATCGGTAGCATCAATCATTTTGCTCTATAGTTTTATGAATTTAACGGCCTAAAGCTTAACTAGTATGACATATGGGTTATGCATTATGGGTCCCACGGCCTCTCCAAACTCTTAGAAAATAGAGGAGATCTCTCATAAGCATTTCAAAGAGAATCTTGATTTGTCAAAATGGGATAAATTATAGCATGCTGTTCAGTAAGTGTGCTAGTCTTCCTCGATCTTCAAGTAGATCATAGTTGTTTTTCGGATACCCGGGGAGTAACACCAAACAACATGATTTAAGTAAGCTTCTGATGATGTAGAATTTCTTTACTTCAACAACTCTCTCCTTGAATTTGCTAAGATTAGGTAACTTTTTGTGCATATAGTTCCTACAAATCTAAAGTTTAAGAAAAAAGTTCATCTACTAGTATGCTACATGTATACATTTGGCCCAATATCGTCTAAGCTAATAACGTTCATGTTCTACCTACCTGGTTCTAAGTTGATATTGCGCGAATACTTCATTTTGTTACAACCCTTTCTTAGGAAGGTCAAGCAATCTCTGACTGAAATTGCCAATCTATGATTAAAATTGCCAACCTCTTATTGGAATCTCCACGGTTGACTTGATGCTAGATCTCCGTAAAAAAACAGACATATTGTGTACATTTCTTGTTCGACATTGTGCCACATAATTCTATACAATTCATTATTACCAACAAAATTAACAATAATATAGCGATTGGCAAGTTTACAGTGCTTAAATGAATATCAGATACTTACTACTTGTATATAATTTTTACATCTATGCTGTTTTCCTCAAATTCATGAAAAATAATTTATAATTCGCCAGCAAATTCTTCCCCAATGGAGGACCTAAAACTATCCTTTTGAAAAATGGGCTTTTGAAAAAATGAGGGTTGGCTAGTCAGTCACAACGGACATGCTTGTTGTATCCGAGTGCCAACTACAAAATCAGTAACCAAGAGCATGTGTGTTGTATGAGAATACCAACTACAAAAGCAGTAACTAAGGACATGTTTGTTGTATGATAATGCCAACTACAAAAGCAGTAACCAAGGACATGTTTGTTGTATCCGAGTGCCAACTACAAGAGCAGTAACCAAGGACATGTTTGTTGTATGAGAATACCAACTACAAAAGCAGTAACCAATGACATGTTTGTTGTATCCGAGTGCCAACTACAAGAGCTGTAACCAATGACATGTTTGTTGTATCCGAGTGCCAACTACAAGAGCTGTAACAAAGGACATGTTTGTCATAGAGAATGCCAACTACAAAAGCAGTAACCAAGGACATGTTTGTTGTATGATAATGCCAACTACAAAAGCAGTAACCAAGGACATGTTTGTTGTATCCGAGTGCCAACTACAAGAGCAGTAACAAAGGACATGTTTATTGTATCCAAGTGCCAACTACAAGAGCTGTAACAAAGGACATGTATTGTTGTATGATAATACCAACTACAAAAGCAGTAACCAAGGACATGTATTGTTGTATGAGAATACCAACTACAAAAGCAGTAACAAAGGACATGTTTGTTGTATGAGAATACCAACTACAAAAGCAGTAACAAAGGACATGTTTATTGTATCCAAGTGCCAACTACAAGAGCAGTAACAAAGGACATGTTTGTTGTATGAGAATACCAACTACAAAAGCAGTGACAAAAAGGACATGTTTGTTGTATGAGAATACCAACCACAAGAACTGTAACAAAGGACATGTTTGTTGTATGAGAATGAGAATGCCAACTACAAAAGCAGTCACCATGGACACTATTGTTGTGAAAATGCAAAATCGTCACCACGGACACGATATGGTTGTATGGAAATGCCAATTGCAAATACTAGTTGCTTCAGAAACGTTAATTAAGTCACTGCTTACATTATTTTACTAAATCACAGGAATAAGAACGTTGCTGTCACACTGAGACAGAAAATTTCCCCTGGGCAAACGTGTTCAATACTCTACACGTATCCTTAATCAAAGTTCCAGATGCTCGTCTCTGGTGAATTAAAAAGGCATGTTTCAGATCGAGGAGCTTAATGAAGAAAACTGATCAGTTTATGACTGTTCAAAGATTATTTGCAGGCGCGTAACCAGTCATACGCGAGGGAAAAACATTAAAAACTATTTCGAATGATAAGTGATTTACGGGCAATTATTTGTCATGTGTGGTTTTATTTATTCATTTACACGTATCAAAAACAATAGTGCCACATTACACAGTCTGATATTGCTATAATCAAAAAATTTCCCAGGGGCCATGCCTCCGGACCCCCCTAGTGTTGCTTGGCCTTCGGCCTGGCGTACCTGCTATCAAGATCCTGGTTACGCTTATCTGGTTACTCAAACGTTAGTTCTTGTGTTTAATCATTCATTTAGTTATTAGAAAAACCTTGTACTTTAGCATTACTTTTATCAAAGCCTAGAATAAATCGTAATTGAACTCTCAGTTTCTAGTATTCACCCGTAGTTTCGATAATTAAAACAACGCGACATAAATACGGACTCCAATGAAACTGGTAAACTCTGGTCGAGGAATATCTTCGCGTCTAGCATCTTGAGTTGTCACTTCTAGAACTCTCTCCAGAGAATGTTGTTGTTGAGTGTTGTTGAATCGTAGATCCCACAGATCAAAAATCGTAACATGCCCTCTATTTGTCCAAGGTCGGTGTTTCCCCACATTTTGATGTATAAGACTTAACCTTTCTTCAAAAATAAATGTTTTTTGAAAGTTGGGGAAATAGTCTTGAGCTGCAAAAGCGCATCATAACCGGACCATCAGGATAGGGAGTTCAAAATGGGTTTCATATTTTGCAAAATCAAACTTATTTTATCAATTTTATTGATTTATTCCAGTTCCACGACATCCAGTACCGCTTTTATAAGTTTTATTCTCCGAATCTGAGCTAAATCATTGGCTATATCAAATTAGAATCGTTAAGTATATCGCTGTAAAGGGGTCACAAGCACAAGGGAAGACAAAGCATGCCCATGGCATCAGTACCGCGTTTATTGATTATATGGAATCAGAGCTAAATCCATTGGCTATATCAAATTAGAATCGTTAAGTATATCGCTGTAAAGGGGTCACAAGCACAAGGGAAGACAAAGCATGCCCATGACATCAGTACCGCGTTTATTGATTAATATATTTTTCGAATCAGAGCTAAATCCATTAGCTATATCAAATTAGAATCGTTAAGTATATCAACATATAGGAATACCAATGGGGACAGATTGTGCTCCTCTTTTGGCAGACTTTTTCTATTCTCGTATGAATATAAGTTTTTGCAAAAGATGATGAAAGATAAGACAAAATTCCACATAGCTAAACTTTTTAATAAAAACAGATAGGTATATAGATGACCTGTTGAGTTTGGACAACCCTGGATTTGAAAATTTTGTAAATGAGATATACCCTTCCGAGTTAGAGTTAAAAAAGACCAATGAATCGAACATGAATGCGCCTTATCTTGACCTTCTCATTAACATTGAACAAGACAACAGTATATATTGTAAGTTGTATGATAAACGAGATGATTTCAACTTTGATATTGTGAATTTTCCCCATTTAGACAGTAATATTCCATTAAATCCAGCATATGGGGTCTATGTATCCCAGCTTATTAGATATGGCAGGACATGCTCTAAATATTTAGATTTCAAGTCCAGACACAATACTTTAGTGATCAAACTGTTAGGTCAAGGTTATAATTCTAGAAAGCTTAAGAAATTCTTTCTGGGCTTTGCTGAAAAATACAAATCATTAATTGTGAAGTTTCAAGTTTTACCACTTGAGATGCTGAATGATGTAGGAATTGTTTAATAACATTGGCAATGATGAATATTTTCACTTGGCAAATTTTGAGGTGGATCCCGGCTATGGCATTAATGGTTGAGAAACAGGGATCGAAACCAGCCATAGTTTTCTCCTGATGACCATTGTGAATTATTGTGTTTTATGGATTATGGCGACGGCTTTTGTGAATGGATGTTGACCCTTTGAAACGCCTATGGACTTGGAGACTGAATTTTATCTATCCCACATCATTTGAGACTGAATGCTCTATCTTGTATGAGTACTTGTATCTACAACTATTTTTTGAGGTTATGAGTATTGGCTATCAATTGGCTATCAATTTCTAATTTTTTCTTCAACATGTATTGTAATGACTTCAGTATGAATGAAATGTCCCTTGGTCTTCTGGTCTTCAATTGTGATATTGGTTCTTGAATGGTGGGGGAAAGGGGGTATTAGACATTGTTTCTTTTCACGTTAGATCATGGTTTTGGGCTATATGGGGTTTGTTTTTCTT